TGTTGATAGTCTTAGAGATCTGAGGAGAAATAGTACTTTGTGTGTACACCTTCTCTTTCTATTCCATGGTCAGATTAAATTGGATGATTTAAAACCTATGGAAATAAGTTGTAGCCAAACTCTGTTCATTCTCTGTCGTATTGATATCTGTGATTTTAGTCTCTGTATGTAGTACCGGTCCAATGCTGATACATTTAGTGAAGCAGTCATCAGCCAGGATGTGTTCATACAGTTCTTTGACAGCCCTTCCTCTCAGTGTGGTGCTGTGGTGGGCTTCGTACACATTCATCACCACTGCAGGGCGACAAAACAGAGTCACGAGGTTAGGGGAGTCATTCACAGAGATTGCATAAAAACATCCTGTAGCCCAAGATACGCTTAATGTTTTTATTTTATTTAGTATGTCTCACTTGAGTTCCTGTTGGTGAGCGCATTGCTTCATAACTATTTCAAAATTATAACTAGAGGTGTGACAATACACTTACAGCTTAAATGATGAGTCACGATATTGGGACAAGGCAAGATTTTAACACTATTTTTTAAGAATTCTTCAATGATGAAATATATGAACATTTTGAGCATTAAGTTAGTCAGCACACACGCAGGCATGATCTAGTCTTCCCTCCTCTCTAGTGTCTTTGTTTGGGGAAATATAATAAATACTGGACACTTAAATACCCTAATGTGCATGTGGCACCTTTTCACCTCAACAATAAATGAATTTATTTTAATTCAGTTAGAAACTCCTGCACTTTAACAGCTCCTGTGTTTCAGCAGCTTTTCTGTTTAAAACTTTCCGCACATTCAGAATCTCTCCCACATATCTGTGTTCTCTGACATGTCCAGAAAAACATTCCCATTTTTATTCTGTCACACCCCGAGTAATAACATGATAAAAAACATTTGTTGATATTGGTCGGTATGTGCTGCCCGTTTTACAGCAACATGCTTCTGTAGGTGGTAATTTATCACACAGCGTGCTGTGTGAATACTTACTGTAAGCGACATTGAGCAGTGTGCTGTGAGGCGTATACATGTCACATGCTGCCACGTTGTTCCTCTGATCAGGCCAGTTAATGGTTGCATAGTCCTGGACATAAAGCTCCTAGAATCCAAAGAACATGATACTTGGTTATGCAAAAGCATAAATATAGTTTGTGATTTGGTGTTCAGTCCAAGACTGTTGAAATAAAAGAAAAACTGCATTAGGTGCTCCCTCTACGTAGTTTAAAGGTGGTCTAAAAATTTTGAAATGGCTAATTTTGTCGCCATCACTTTTTGTAAGCATTTCTTAAAACTGTTCTGAAAAAGAGCTTGCAGCAAGAAATGTTAACTAACAAATGAAAATGTTCTGAGAAAGGCTTATTTGCACAATAAGAAAAATGCAATGCAATTTAAATATAGAAGAAACAAATGTCCAAAAAAAAGTAATTTAAGCTAAAAAAAAAACCAAGCTGCTGATTACTGCATTATATTCTGTAATATTTTAATATTTATTAATAGTCACCTGCCAGCTGAATTTCTCTTTATAAAATAAAGACATTTCCACCATGAATTGGAGCAGAAAATGTCTCCAGAATGCAGGAAATTAAGTGTTTAATGCTCAAAATCTTCTTATTTCTACAAAATCTCCTCATCTTGTTTTTGACCATCGTCAAGTCTTGTGACACACTTGTGTCATCATGCCCCTAAGCTGAGCCTTTAGTCCCACCACTTTTCAACTCAAAGTGACACCCTTGGATCACACAAAAGAAAGATTCCACTCCTGAATAAATGAGTGGAGAAATATAATGAATGCAGATGCTTCCATACAGGACACAGAATCACTGAATGGTTTGATAAAAAAGTACTGTAATTTTTAATAAATACCTTTTTAAAACCTAAACAATGCTTTGTTAATTACCAAGGCAGCACATTTTTCCAGTAGAAAACTTTACAGTTGTAGTGTTAACTCAAGAAATCTTATGACTGAACAAAGATGTTCTTGCCCTTTAACTCTGTCAGCATCCGACAGAAAAATTATTATTAAATAAATGAAATCAACAGAAAAGTAATTGGCAACAATTTTACTAATCAATTCAACATTTAAGTCATTTGATGTGGAATTGAATGCCAATCATTTGCTGGTTTAGCTTCTGCTTTTCTCTTATTTGAAACCCATCTTTGGGTAATCTCCAGACATCCCTTGGACTCTAAAAACCTGTGAGGCATTCTTACTTTTTCTCTGACATGTCATAGTCTTAAAAGTCAATCAACTGATAAGAAATATCGGTGACAGATTTACTGAAATTAATGATAAGTGAAAATAATTGTTAGGTGGAGCTCTGAACTTTAATTATGTCTTAATATTAGAACATATGATATGTTCTAATCACAGCAAACAACAAGACAGGAACGTACTTCCCACTACCAAACTAACTGCCAAACTTCAAAGCTTATCACGCCTATTGTGTTCCAGCACCTGTCTGAGGCTGAGAACCAGGGAGTCTTCCTCTGCAGCCAGTCTGACAGCGTAACAATAACTCATGGGGAGGTAGACCTGGCGGCAGTGGCACCACAGGGTAGAGGGGTGGGCTGGCATCCAAGTGGGGAACAGCCTGGAACAAACAAAAAAACATCCATCAACCCCCAAATTCACACAGAGAAAAACACATTTCCTGTCCTGTTTGCCCTGTGGCAAAGACAGATGCTCCGTGATACCAGTTGACATAACATAAACAACAGTGATTCAGTCTGTTCTCACTTCAGGACAGGGCCGTATCCAGGGTTTAAAATTAGTGAGGTCCGGATTTTCATTTAAAAAAAAAATTGGTAATAGGTAATTATGGTAATATGTGGGCATGTGTGAGCGCAGTGAAGGCTTAAAACGCGCAGTGGACAAAGCACTGTTTGGTGCTCACACTACAGACATGGTCTTTCTCCCCACTGCTTGGCTCACTGAAATTGCATAAAATAAGAGACGCAGACACACAAGCTCAGGTAGTGCAAAATCTGGATATACTAATCTTCACAACATGCATTAGGCTAAATGAATCTCATATTTACCCCACCTCTACTGGCCCTTGTAGCTTTCCAGGTGGTTTCTTTTTTGTGTTGAATTGAAAAGTGTTTTCTTTGACGATGTATTTTAATGATTAGAGAGGCTGCTGTCGGCCATTTAAGCATTTCCATGCGCACAGTTAGGTCACAGCCAATACCGTGGGACATTTATGCAGCAAAAACAAAACCTGTAGTTAAAAATTTAACAGGGCAGGACAAAGGAAACAGAAGTCAACTTGCTGCCTGTGAAATGTTGAGATGCTCTTATGGAGCTCAGAATTTATCAAGAGGATGACTGCTTTACTCCAGGACAGTTTCACTGGATGAACCTGGACTGTGTGTGTGATAGTTTGTGGATGTGGAGAAGAACACAGCACATTAATTAACATTACATTCTGACTCTCTCTTACACTCTCTTATTGGGGAGACGCTTCATCCTATTTCACTCACCCTGAAATTCACAAAACGTACAGGCTAAAACTCGCCCGCAAGCCCGCAAACAGAGGAGCTCTGTTTCCCCAGGTCTGACACTGATGGGGAAACAGTTTTTCAACTTGAAAAGAGGGCTTGCTCTGGAATAATCAGCTGCACCTGCATGGTTCTAAAGCCTTCATTTAAGTTGATAGTGTTGATTGTGTTTTTTATTAATAGGCCTACATATAATTAAGGAGGTTCGGAGCTCGGTGACCTCATAGCATAACTTTTTTAAAGGTACTGTTCTAAACATTTGATGTCTGGTCTTAAAACTTTCTGCACTAGGCAGTGATACCATTTACAGTTCCAGCTGCAGCACCAGCAGTTTGCAAGGAAGATAGAAGTGGGCGGTTCTCATGAACAAGCTAAGATAGTGGATAGTGTGCACATCCAAGCATTGAGTTGAGTACAAGTGTAGGGAAAAAAAAAACATAGAATGAAAAAGCTGAGGAGGATGTTCAGTTGGGAGCTTTTTGTACACATGGATGTTTGTCTGATGAAGACACTGCTGGCTGAAACGTGCCTCCTGGGAGATTGCAGCTTGCAGTGTGCAGGCAACCTCTCATTTTCCTTGTCAGCATGAGCAGCAATAGCCACCATGGCAGAACAAACAAAGAATAGAGCGCCACCTACAGAAAGTTCATTGAGAGAAAGTGCAAGACAAAAGCGATCACAGTTTCATCCTAATATCATCATGAGGTACAAAAGTTAAAGTAATCCCACTGAGATCCTTAAGCTTTTTAGGTGTAACGTTACTTAAAGCATTGTTAAAGAAATATTGTGAGCCAGGTTGAGGTGTGATGAAAAAGTTTCAGAGACTGATGAAGACTTAACAAAGCATGGTTGACTGGGCCCGGCTGAGGAGATACAGTGCCAGCATGCAACATGTGAACACGTCAACAACAACAACAAATCTGAAGGATCAAATCTTTTGGTCCCTTTTATGTTTCTGTCTTCCCCTAGTGCCTGTAGGTTTCTCTATTAGGTCACCTTTCTGATGTTTAGACTTCGTCATATTAGAATCTATTCTATCCATGAGTTGTACTCTAATCCGTGGAGCCAGTGAGTTCTTGTAAACACTGATATCTGCCAGCCTGACGCCTGAGCTACTGCTTCTACCTTATCAGTCTAACTGTCGTCTCCCCAACAAGGACAATTACATGAGAGAAATAACTAGAGCTGGAAGGTCTTGTGGGGGTCAGCTAATGACTCTAGACCTGTCTTACCTTTCCCTGTTACATCAATTAAGCCCCCTGAGAATACTGTATAACAAGCATGACTGATGGGTAGAAGAGGACAAAATGGGATGTTGGGATGGGATGGAAGAACGTCCAACTTACCACATCTCTGGTAGCAGTGTGTTCATTCCCTCCCAACTGTAGACATTTAAAATGGCCAACCAGAATTTACCCCATGAGGGAATCCCCACAGCGCCGCCTATACAAACACAAAAAACACAGACAGCTATAGTATGAAGCCACAAATAACTGACATGTTTATTGCGATAAGCACTGACTATAGCTCACATCACCTTTTTAATTTACAAGAAATATGCCTTTACGAACACAAAGGGGTAACATATTCCCCATAAAAACTGTTTTCAGATTTGGACGTTTTGGGATGGCAGTGTGTTTGGATACCTGTGTGCTCTCAGTAAACAAAGATGATCAGTAATCAGCGCTATTTCTATCATATATATTACTGCGTGTGACTGACTGCAGATTTAATTTGTTCCTTCCCACCTTTGCTGTGCAGGTTATTCCTGGCTCGAACCACATCTGGATCATCAGGATCTACTCCCAGGATCCTTAATGAGGTGTAGCTCAGCGCTGTGCCAAAGACGGTAGACTTATCTTCAATATGTCTGACGAAAAACAAAATACATCCACTATGCTGCCACAATCAATATTCCAGACAGTCTTACCCTTTGAGTTTTAGGATGTCTCTCCTGTAATTATTTCAGTGGGGAAGAATGGACACGTCTACTAAGTACTACACCAGTCTTCCTGTAGTAGTAGATGCTTCTATCATTACATTACATCTGACTAAAAACACAGACCCTATCATTTCTGGAATATGATGATGACAAAATTATGCTTGTACAGCTGTCAGAGGTATGGACATTTTCCATGTTTGGAGGTTGCCTTTGCTGAAATGATACTTTGCAAACCGTACGTCTTGCCTGTTACAGTGACCTTACTCAGAAGTACTAAAGACATGAACTCCTCTTACAGTAGAAGCACATTAGTTATATGACATGCGTGGATATCAAAAGACAAAAAAAGTGTGCGGTTGACTTACAGACCCCAGCCTCCGTCTGGCAGCTGGACGGAGCGCAGGTACCTCACCATCTCTTTCTTCCAGGCCTCGGCCAGAGGGATCTTAGCCACATGGCATGTGATCAGGAGCCCTGAAGCACAGAAACGGACACCCATGCAGTGAGACACAGACGCACATGTGCCAACTGATCCCTTGTCTGTTTAGTGTAACAGCCCCGCATGCAAGTCCTCTTTTCACCATCATCTGTTTTCCCACACCACCTTTATCAATCAAATTTAGCAAACAGATGTAAATTATGGTTGAAGATGGCTGATACGCTGTTGAGCTTTCATTAAAAACTATGCACAAATCGAAAACAAAAATCCAACACCGCTTTTCAGCTGCTGCACTTAGCCAACTTTGCACACTGATCTCCACACGGTGACGAGAGGTGATTTCTTTTGCAAAATGTGGTCCATCGTTTCACCTGATGTCACCTGATTAGAGCAGAGTGCATTTACAGGTGTCAGATATATAAAAGACACAGACGGGAAGGATTTGGCTTTACCTGGGAGCAGGAAGAGGGGTCCGCCGTAGTCCCCTGCCCAGTGACCGTCCTCGGCCTGGAGGTGGCTGTAGAAGTGCATACCTTTCAGAGCTGCATCTACAGCTGTGTGGGCAGCTGGAGAGCCAGGCACAAACTTACTCTGTGGAGAGAATTGGTGATTAGAAATGAACACCAGACAAATGTTAGACATTTCAGGGGTTTACCAGCCACACAACTAAAAATATCTATTCTATCTATGTTTATATATAAGAATATATAAGACATATACAGGGCTACAACTAAAATCTTTCACTATTCACTTTATAGTCACTATACACTCCATTGTTTAGCATGTATTATACAGTCATCTCAAATGAACCCAGAGCGTGAATAAGCAACGATCACAAGCCAGGTGATTTTTTTGGCCATTTGAAGCAAACCTACCGTGTCCAAGCCTAGAGAATGGGCTTCCAGCATGGTCTGCTCCCTGTCTGGGCTGTCCTGATCTTCCACATAGCGCCAGGTCTGCCTGCCCTCGACATTCGTCAGCCTCCAGCGGCTCATGTCTGTGGCTGGCTCTGTCCTGTACGGCCCGCCTCGCCTCCGCAGGTGCCTGGCAGACACAGCAAGTTTTCCAATGTTAGATCATCTGATTATTCAGTATACTATTGGATTCTTGAACGTATCATATTTCGCAGTATACGTAGGCTACCATAAAATCTCACAAACTACTAACTAACCTCCATCATCATCCTGTGCACTGTGTCTGCTGTGTAAGCCTTCAGGTTTCTGAGACCTAAAGTAGGCATTCAACATCAAATCGACAAAGTCATCAAAGGCCCAGCCCAGGATGTACTTCCTGCGTCAGCTCAATTTGCCAAAGAAGCTGCTGATCCAGTTCTGATCAAAATACAAATATCGGGTCTGTCCTCTGCACATCCACCACAGTCTGGTTCGGATCGGCCACCAAACAAGACAGGAGCAGACTACAATGGACAATCAGGACTGCAGAGAAAATCACTGGCGCCATATGGCCCTCCATTCAGGACATATACATGTCCAGAGTCAGGAAACGAGCTGGAACCATCACTGCAGACCGTTACACCCTGGACACAACCTGTTCCAACTTTTCCCCACTGGTAGGTGCTATAAGGCCACTGTAGGCTTTGCCAGAAGAACCACAAGAACTGTTTCTTCTTATAAGGCCATTACTCTGAACAGTTAACATCAGTGGTATTTTTTATATTTTTAGATGACATACGTGGCTATTTTAACATACATATCAATGTGTTCACATGTATATATGCATATGCTGTACATATCCACCTACACCTACATATAAAAGCAACCTGTTACATTAATCATTTGATGTTTAGGCTATTCCAGCAATATCTGCACTCTGCACTATTGTATTCTTGTTTACAATATACAGAATCATTCTGCCTTGTATATACTTTTTATATGTTGTTGTTCATTGTTACTTATACATACAGACCCAGTTTTTATTTTTATTCATAGTATTTCACCAACTTGTATGTACATAATAGCTAATCCTGTTTGTTTACCTTTATTGTCCTTGTTTCTTAGTTGTATTTCTAAATACAGTGAGAGCTACAACAAAAAAAGTCAAGATCAAATTCCCTGTATGTGTAGCCTGTCCACAATAAGGCAGTTTCTGCTTCAGGTCTCCATGACAGTGGATTTCGTTTCAATAAAGGCATTTTGTTACAGGTTGTCCATCTCAAAGCTTTACCAGCTGAAAGTTCAGTCCCTCTCATGACCCAGCTGTCCCAAATTTGGACAGGCCCACATATTTCCCACCTGACATAATGTCCTTACACTGGTCTCTCATCCTGAGAAAGAGGCTTAAATAGTACCAATCACTACACTCATAAACGAGAAACCAGTTCTGACAGTGATAACATCACATCTGGCACAACTGTTTAAACTAACGTTACAGTTTAGTTCAGCCATTTTGACTCAAACTTTTTATCACCTCCCATCGCTTTAACCTCATTATTTCGGCGACACTTTCCGTTAAATAGAACAAAATACTCACGTTCCCTCAGTCATGTCTGTGATTGACAGAAAAGAGTTGAATCCTCCGCTGAACCATATGAACGAATTTCTTTTCAGATGCTCTGAAGGATCTGCCTCTTCTGCTTCATTCATGGGAAATGTAGTGTTTCTACTAAAGTCCAGCTCATTGTTCAGCACAATTCAGACTTCATTTCCCAGAGCACCTCGCCGTGCCGTCCGAGGAGTTCACTACATGGAGAGACATGAGCAGAGACTCGGCTGTCCAATCACCAACCGTTTGGGCGGAGAAGTGGGCGGGTCTACCATGGGGCCCTCCAATCAGATCGCTCCTAGGACAAACACAACACATGTGCTCACACATCGATTATGATGACCCCATGCAGGAGCCTGTTAACTACTGAATGAAAACTGGGCTAAGTGGTAAGTTTACTTTAAAATACTTTCATTCAATGTTTAACTTTCAGACGATTCTATAACTCAACAGTAAAATAAAACACACTGTTAAACACTAAACTACAATATTAAACCAAGAGTAAGAATCTTGATTTTCTTTTCCTATTGTACAAACCCAGACTGTAATATAAAAAAAACTAAACAAGACACACTCTGTTGCAATCAATCAATCTAAAAAGACAACAGGGTGAACTCAGTATGAGCTCAGCAAATAAAGCAAAGGAGTCTTTCGCTCCAAGCAGAACGTTTGTTTGTCCTTAGTGCACAGCTGCAGAATCATTTGTTAAAAAGAAGTTCATAAGTCATCAGCAATGCTCAGCAGACCACTCAGCTTCAGCCTGCAGGCCAGTTCTTCCTCTTGGCTCGCCAAAATCTGTCTCTCCTTTTCCTTCTGCCACCACTCCATAGATACAGGCGTCGTTGTAGGCCAGTCTGCTTTTGATCATCAGGTGCTGGCTCCTGGAGGGTCCAAACCATGAAAATGCGTGATTACTGCAATTCTTGATAGCAACATTTGGAAAAGATATTGTAGATGAATCGCACTACTTTCTGCTGTTCTGTAAGTACAACAAAAGTATAATATTGTGTAGCTTAAGAGATAAGGTTTACTGCAAATACCTCATCTTTAATGCAGAATATGCAGCGCAAATTAGCCTCAAATGTAAAACTCAATAGGTCTGACCGGACCTGCCACCTTCACTATTTCTGTCACCCAGAATGACTGTAAAAGGACGTAACTTGTCCCAGGATCTCTGAATGTGAGGGGAGGGGACCCGTCATACCTGTGTGTGAGAGGGGCATCTCAAGTCTTGGCGGTGGGTGCATGGATTATGGTTATGGGTATGGACAACAGAGACGACGATGGAAGGAAAAGCGGTGTGGACAAGTGGTCCAAGGGGTAGCTGTACAAGCACCTTTAGTAATGTCTCATTCAAACTTATGTTACAGGATAAGGAAGTTGGTTTATATGTGCAAGATGCACCTTTTGCAATAAGTAAGTACAATGTGTATTATAAAGTACCTGTCTTTTTATAATAAATATAGTAATAGTAATTTCCAGAGTTTTGAGACTTGTGCGTGATATATTTGGATGTGCATACCCTGATGTGTTTTGCCCTACACACCATGTGCTCGCAGTGACCTTGCCATTTAGAGAGGTGAGGTTAGCAACCATAGGAAGTAGTAGCAGGAACTGTGAAGCTAAACACCAGTCTGGAACTCTTGCTCCAGTCCATCTTACTAAGCTGGGAAGGGGAACATACATGTCAATGTTGTGAAATATGTAGTTGGATTCATTTCATTAACGTTATTCTCCAGCCTGTGTTTTGGCTTTGATAAGTGGGCACAAAAATGTGCTGCTTACGTTCGTGAAACAATCAGCTGATCATTATTTAGCAATAAAACGGTAGCCTACAGCATGGAAGCTTAAATAAGTCAGCTAAACTTTTACTGCCCTGGTAGAAAAACCATTTAGTTGGATTGTAACATTATTCTCCAACGCTGTGTTTTGGCTTTGCAAGTCCAGATGGTTTGAGAGAACCACCAGAACAAGATGATCCTGAGGTCACAACAGATATCTTGGCTAATGCTGTTTGTGCCAATGAAGAAACTGATTCAATTTATCAAGTCTGCCTCGTCCTGGAATCAACTGAAAAGATCTTAGATTCAAGAAGGTGTTCTGTAGTCTCTACAAGAAGAGAAATGAGCTCAGTGCTCTGCTTGCTCACGCAGAGTCAGATGAGAGACAAGAGGAGGGTGTTCTGGAGGAAGAGCTGCAGAGCATCAAGGATGCATTCCCTGTTTTTCTCTCTGTGGAGGAGGTGAGGGAAGCTGAGCTGGAAATAATCACAGAGAAGTCAAAACTGAGCAAATGAAGCTGAACAGAAGGATCTAATGATGGTGCAGGCTGACAAGTGTGGTGATGTAACATCAACTGTTTTCCCCAAACGATCAGGGAGAAGACAAACGAGTGGACTGTGCACATTCACTGTCTCACCTGAGTTATTTGTCATAAGTTCTCACAGCTCGCATCGTCTGTTCCATCAGAGTCGTTCATTTGGACACAGACTTTCGACTTTAAAGACAACAACGCCTCTACAGTTTGAATGTTCCTGCTTTCTGGATAACTCACTCTCTTTTTCCTCTTCAGTTACCTTCCATTCAAGTTCAAGTTCAACTCTATTTGACATTTCAACCAAAAGAAAGCAGCTCAATAAAATATCGTTTCTCACAGAAACAACACTGAAATGGAGACAGGCTTAATGCAGGGAGTTAATTTAGAGCATGTGTGCAGTGAAAACGTTAATACTACTCAGTTCTGTATGTTGTAAAGAAGGTTTCACACAGCAGAGGCTCATCGTAGTGAAGGTAAAGATTAAAAAGGTCTTCGGTGTAGATTGTCCTCTGTAATTGAAATAACGAAACAGCAGGTGGAGCCAGAGACCGACATGGACCAGAGGCCAGTCAAACACACCTGAAACAGCAGCAACACAACAGAAAGCATGCTGGGAAACTACAGCAACTGTCTCAGTCTGTCATCATGTCCTTTAAATCCTCAAAACTGAGCTTCATTATATTTATTTGTGCGATGTTGCTGGTCAAATCTTAGACTTCTATATATATTATTAAATCCATCATATTGATCATTGTTACTGGAATAATAAGTATCTGCAGTAATGCAGTAGGTGTAGTAATGGTAGCAGCAGTGGAAGTTTAGCGTGTTTTCATCATCACAGCTGATTTATAAGACAACATTTTATTACCACATTCTGCTTTGGGACTAAATCAACAGACAGATGCCAGACTGTTGCCTTCAGGTACCACTGGGACATTAATGTGTGAAATCAGCACAGAGACACCTGCCTGCTGCTTTTTCTCCTCACAAGACTTGCAGTTTCCCCCTCAGTTAGCTGCAGCTTCACTTCCACTCAGTAAAGCACTTCTTCCAGCTCACACCTGCTCTCACTTTTGACTAAAATGGATTTTTTCATGGAATGAGCTCCCTCGGTGCCGAATGTAAATGTGGAGCGACAACCCAGAGTGCTTTTTTCGTCACATTAGAAGCTGAAGCTACAGTAATACAGGAGGCTGTGTTTAAAATAGTTTGATAGTTGATTTACAGGAAAGAAACTCAGAAATATGACTTTGCCATCGATGCTTAGTACTTCTCTGCTGGAAAAGGTGGAGTAACTTTACCTGAGATGGTGCAATAAATCAATCCCAGTTGTCAGGAACCCTAATGGTGACTGCTTTAGATGCATTTCTTTGTTGCCAATTGAGGATCAATTAGAATTTTGTGCACTGACAGATTCCACCCTGGACAAAAAGAAGATAAGTTTGAATCAAGTCTGGATTCAAACTTTCCAACCCAGGATGGTCTGGCTGTGAGGTGACAGAGCTAAACACTGAAATAACATGACAGCCTCATTATGAAGTTTCACCTTCATGAAAATCAATACAACAAGATATTGTGTTGAGTCCACAACAACACAGTATCTGTTGTCTTGTGTCGGAACTCAACTAAAACTTCTTCACACCCGAACTTGATCAAATGAATTCTCACGGTTTTTCCACTTTGTTTTTAAGTCGGTGTAATAAATCCTCTTTATTAACTAAGTGCACAAACAAAATGTTGGTTGTAAAAAGCAACAAGTGACAGAAACCTCTGCTCATCTCTCTGTGACAAAGTTGTTTTAGTGAGGAAAGGAAGAAACTGACTGACAAATGCTCTTCTGCTCTAAACATGAACTCTGTACTTTGTGGTGTTTCAGGAGGAAAACTGCCTCAGTTATACTCTCAGATTAGTTTCACATGTTCTCCATCAGCTCTGTATGATACAAGAAAAGACTTTGTTCATATTTGTTTATTCATCATATTTGTTTATACATCCCATCAGTGAAGTCTGAAGTACAGATTCCATTTTCATGCAGAGAAATGTCAGTTCAGGTAAACAGCAGTCATCATGAGAAGTGATCAAATGAAACTACACAGCAACTAATGAGAATATGTCAAAGTGCCGCCCAGAATGTTTGATTGACAGGTGCTCTCGGTGCAGTGAAGAAATGTCACAACAATCAGCTCTCAGCAACAAACATGAAGACAAAATAAGTTTAAGGATTAAAACTTACTTCTGACTATTTGACTTTACAGAACTCAGCAGAGGATCCAGAAGAATAATAAAGCCCAAGTCCAGCATAGAGAGGCGGAGTGAATGTGGTCTGGACTCTGTGGGGGAGAGTCATGGTTTTAGAGGACCGAGGACCTGAGACGGGAGTTTGGACATATTTGTACCAAAATTTATGTTTGTGTAACTATAAAACGCCCAAGATTTAACATTGAATCCAAATAACCATTCATCTGACCCCCCTGCTCTGCTGATATTCTTGTATGCGACTGCTACATAAACTCCTCCCCCTCTCCACTCCACCTCCCAGTAACAACGTCCAGTCAGACTCTCTCTACTCAGGACCTGCCAATAATAAATAAGACTGTTGTTGACTGATTAATGATGCTTTTCTGTTCCCCTCAGATAATAACAGCTGTGTGTGTGCTGTGTTTGGATCGAGAGTGATTTCACATGAATATTTGAAGAATCCAGCTTCTTGGAGGGCTCCACCAGCTTGTGTGTTTCTTTAATGGAGCTGCATCATAATGAGGCTGGAGGTGTTTCTCACAGTAAGAGACCAGACAGACCAGACAGGACTTGAGGGATTTCAGTTTTC